CATTTTGTGCATATGTGTAGACATGTCAACGTAAGTAAAGTCCACCTCATGAATTTTAATGGAAGAAGTTTATCATATTTTCCTAAATACTGTTTGTTGATATATAAGATTATACAAAATTATATATATATATATATATATATATATATATATATATATATATACCATGTCTCTTTAACTATCCCTTTTACACTCTCTGTTAAATTACAAAACTTACTTACCCATCAATTTTAATTTTCATTTTCGTTTCATTTCATTTTTGGAAGAGCTATCTGATGATCCAGCATCCTTTAAAAGGACTCTGGTGAAATAAATTATTATAATGGTACCTTAAAGTTAGTCTTTTTCTTTTTATATATAGATGAATAGATAGATGAATGAATGATAGATAGATAGATAATATATATATATATATATATATATATATATATATATATATATATAATATATATATATATATATATATATATATATATATATATATATATATATATATATATATATATATATATGTATATATATATATATATATATATATATATATATAATATATATATATATATATATATATATATGAATAAAATGACAATAGGAAAACTGGTAATTGCTGACGCGTTTCATCAATGTGGACTTTATCAAAGCAAAAATACGATTTTTTTTTCGTATTTTGCTTTGATAAAGAATCCCACATTGAACGAAACTGACAACAATTACCAATTTTCTAATCTTTTATTCATAAATATTAAATATTGGTTAAATCGGAGAAATTTTCATATATATATATATGTATATTATGAAATGGACAAAGTCTGACAATTATTTTAAGACATTTTTATGTTTAACATTCTTTTTATAGATACAAATATTTCTGTGGCGAAATCGGTAAAAGCACGTCAGGCTATATGACGGTTCCGTATAGGATACAGTTTCGAATCCTGTCGGAGGAGGAATATTTTCTATGAAAATTTCTCGGATATTCAGGTCGGTAAATGTTATTTAATACTGTTTATTATAAACAGAGCATTTTACTTAAATATTTGTATGTATAAAAAGAATGTATAAACATAAAAATGTTTTAAAATATATGTATATATATAAAACTTCTATATATATATTATATATGTGTGGTACTTATAGCAAAGTGCTCAATATCAGTGATACAGCTAACATATTTAGTTGTCTGGATATGAACCTGGAAAACAAACTCATATCCATACAACTAAATACATATATATATGATATAATGATATATAATTTTATATAACAAACAATTTTAGAAAAATATGACAAGCTGGAAAATTTTATCTGTGATACGTTTTATCCGTTAGAATTTAATCAGGCCGGGCTTCGTTGACATTGCCATGTCTACTGGAAAGGGGAAAGTAGGGTTTGTAAAACTTGATCCTCACGGGGCATATTGAGGGTAAGTGAAATAATGGGAGGAAGTCTTAAAGAAAATGGCAATTGAAAGAACACTTCTACTCAGAATCAGGAAAAGACGGTTGAAATTCCTAGGACAAATAATGAGAAAGGAGGGTTTAGAAAACTTGATCCTCACGGGGCATATTGAGGGTAAGTGAAATAATGGGAGGAAGTCTTAAAGAAAATGGCAACTGAAAGAACACTTCTACTCAGAATCAGGAAAAGACGGTTGAAATTCCTAGGACAAATAATGAGAAAGGAGGGTTTGGAAAACTTGATCCTCACGGGGCATATTGAGGGTAAGAGAGATAATGGGAGGCAGTCTTAAAGAAAATAGCAAGAGAAAGTACATTTGTTATCTTTTTATACTTTGGTACATTTGTAGATTGGTAAATTTGGTAACCATTGATACATTGGTATATTTGTACATTGGTACGATTGGTATCTATTGATACCAATGTAAATTGATAAGAGCTAAGTTTGAATTCATTTATGTGCAGATACCCTTGAGAAATGTTTGAATTCATCTCTTCTTCCCCATTCCTTCACACCAGCTATGTGTAAATAGCAGGACAAACTGGGTTTTATAGCCTTAGTTGGCAACCGGTCTGGGAGAAGGAAAATTCAGAATTCAAACCAGGCTGTAGAGGATTGGGCTCCATCAGGCACTTCTGATGCTAAAGTTCATGTGTTGCCCCTATGACTTTAATGTGTTATGGGACTTGTGATCGTGATCTATCGCTACAAGGCCCAAGAGCCACTCGAGTTAGAGGATTACTGAGTAAGAGGCACAGTTTATACAGATATATGGGGAAGATAATGATTACCTGAGAATGGAACAGGTTAACCTTTTAGCATCCTCTTGGGAGTCTGTTCCACAGAGTGGCAGTTTGTGGGAAGAAGCTACTCAAGTGGAACTTAAATCGCCCCAATGGAATATGATGATAATGAAGGTGGTTGTTAAAATGGGCGTGGCAAGGTGGGGTGTTAGCTGTGAAGGTTAGAACTGGTGGAACTAAGGAATGTAGTTTGTCTGAGTACTTTTCAGGGAAATAGTAATAAAACAGCAAGATTTTGTCTGTGAGAAAGGGGTGGTAGGGTGTAAAATAATTCACTACCGACAAGGATGCTGAGAGGATTTTGTACTCTATTGAGCCCGGAAAGTAAAGACTGGGTAGCTCCTGCCCATATATGGCAGCAGTATTTATTTTGGTCTGATCAGCCTCATATAAAGGTAGAAGATATCAGGAGGTGTCAGGTACTTACTAGCGTGGTCCAGAATTCTTACTAATGGACAAGATGTACAAGTTCTAATTGACGTCAACATTGAATTTGTCCCAATAGATGCTCAAAGCATGATGCCTCACCGAGGGAACATCTGTTCATCAGGATTGGTGATAGTTCTGTGACTGATTGTTTGGTCTTTGGGGTATTGAATATGCCCAGTCAGTTTTCCCCCACATTATCCATTAAAGCTAGGTCAGAGAAGAGACCAGTTGCCATCCAATGTTTTGGACATTCTCCCATATACCATTATGTCATCAACATAGATATCCACCAATGATCAGAGTATATTTTTCCTTAAATCATTTATGTAATGTAGAAAGAGGCTTGGACCGAGAAGTGCACCTTGAGTGACACCTGCATTGACTGCTTGGGAATCAGATGACTGGCCAATAACAAATACCTTCAGAGATGTTACAATGGAATGTATAACAGAAAAGACTCGCCCATTGATTACATAACTACAGATCTTGAGCCTTAACTCTCTATACCATACTGTGACAAAAAAGTTTGAAATATATAATGTGGTCATACTTGGGATTTCTGTGAGTAATCACAGTTAGGATATCAGCAGTGGAATAGAGTTGATAGAAATGTTACTGTTTGTCCATCAAGAGGTTGTATTTATTGAAGTGATCAACAACCTTCTTGTTGATTATAGATTCAACTAGTTTGTTAATGGGTCTATACAGTGAAAGGAAAAATGCTCAGGCAAATAATGAGACAGCAGCAGAGACATTAAATAAGGGATTATCTAAGTCATATTGGAAGGGATAAGGGAAAGAATGAGAAGATACAGGCAAAGAACGAGAGATCAGTTGAGGAATGAAATAATAGTTAATTTTTGGTGTTAAACTCAGTAGAAATTTGTTTTTTGACACCAATACCATTTGAAGAATATGTAGGCCAGATTTTGAATGAGATCAATCAGCAGATTCTGCTACAATTGAGCAAAGAAGTTAAGTCTTTCTCTGGCAATAGCAGATCAAATATACCCATTGAAAAAAAAATATTTTAAACATTTAAAAATAATTGAAAAATTAAAATCATTTTTTTTTTCAAAAAATGATGAAACCCATTGATTTTGTTTTCTTTACTGAAATCTAGTTTTGTAAGTTTCATTAAAATTTTCGTATATTCAAACCTAAAAAGAAATCGTCTTCATCAGTGGTTAGGAAGGAACAATTGGGCCCTTTCTAATGGTTTTACTGTAAACAGGCAATAAAAATCAGGAAGAAAAGAATTATTAATGGTCATTCAACTATTGCAGTGCATTTGGTCCTTACTGGGAGGACCTGTACCTCTGCGTTCTTGTTGAAAATGAACCCAATATGTGTAATTAGCAAATATTTCAAGTTTTTCTCTGATGTTAAATGTTTTGATGATGATGATGGTCAGAATGATCATGTTTGATGCATTGATAGAGATAATGATGATGACGATGTAAGATGCTTTGATGATGATGATGACGATGATGATGCTAGATGCTTTGATGATGATGATGATGATGATCAATTAGTTTTGCAGCATTTAAATGCCTTTCTTTATTTTTGTTTTCTTATGACTTTTGCCTTCTTTCTATCTTTCTATCCATATCGATGCATCTATCTATCTATCTATCTCTCTATTTTGGTCTGTTCACATATACTTATCTATCTAAATATGTATGTATGTATCTATCTATATATCCGTTCATATCTATCTATCTATCTATCTATTTATCTATCTATCTATCTATCTGTTCATATCTATCTATCTATCTGTTCATATCTATCTATCTATCTATCTAGCTATCTATCTATCTATCTATATCTATCTGTCTATCTCAATCAGTTCATATCTATCTATCGATCTATCTCTCTATTATGGTCTGTTCACATATATTTATCTATCTAAATATGTATGTATCTATCTATCTATATATCCATTCATATCTATCTATCTATCTATCTATCTCTCTATCTATCTGTTCATATCTATCTATCTATCTATCTATCTATCTACCTATCTATATCTATCTCAATCTGTTCATATCTATCTATCGATCTATCTATCAATTTTGGTCTGTTCACATATATTTATCTATCTAAATATGTATGTATGTATCTATCTATATATCCATTCATATCTATCTATCTATCTATCTATCTATCTATCTATCTATCTATCTATATATCTATCTGTCTATCTCATCTATCTATCTATCTATCATCTATCTATCTATCTATCTATCTATCTATATTTATCTATCTAAATATGTATGTATGTATTTATCTATCTAAATCTATCTGTTCATGTATGTATCTATCTATCTATCTATCTGTTTCATATCTATCTATCTATCTTTTGGTCTGTTCCCATCTATCTATCTATCTATCTGTTCATATCTATCTATCTGTTCATATCTATCTATCTATATCTGTTCTATCTATCTATCTATCTATCTGTTCATATCTATCTATCTATCTCTCTCTATCTCTATCTGTCTGTCTATTATCTATCTATCTATCTCTCTCTCTCATCTGTTTCATATCTATCTATCTATCTATATATATATATATCTATATATCTATCTCTCTATTTTGGTCTGTTCACATATATTTATCTATCTAAATATGTATGTATGTATGTATCTATCTATCTATCTGTTCATATCTATCTATCTATCTATCTATCTATCTATCTATCTATCTATCTGTGTTCATATCTATCTGTTCATATCTATCTATCTATCTATATCTATCTGTCTATCTCAATCTGTTCATATCTATCTCTCTATTTTGAACTGTTTACATATATTTATCTAAATATGTATGTATGTATGTATCTATCTATCTGCTCATATCTATCTATCTATCTATCTATCTATCTATCTATCTATTTCAGTCTGTTCCCATATTTTTATCTATCTAAATATGTATTTATTCATGTATGTATATATGTATGTATGTATGTATCTATCTATCTCTCTACCTGTCTGTTCATATCTATCTATGTATCTATTTCAGTCTGTTCATATATATTTATCTATCTAAATATATATGTATTTATATATGTATGTATGTATGTATGCATCTATTCCTTTTCATCTGTCTGTCTGTCTATCTATCTATTTTGGTCTATTTATGTATCTAAGTATGTATGTCTGTATGTATGTATGTATTTATCTATCTATTCATATCTATCTATCTATATCTATCTATCTGTTCATATCTATCTATCTGTTCATATCTATCTATCTATCTATCTATTTTGGTCTGTTCCCATCTATCTATCTATCTATCTATCTATCTATCTATCTATCTATCTATCTATCTATCTATCTGTGTGTTCATATCTATCTATCTGTTCATATCTCTCTATCTATCTATATCTAGCTGTCTATCTCAATCTGTTCATATCTATCTCTCTATTTTGATCTGTTCACATATATTTATCTATCTAAATATGTATGCATGTATGTATGTATATATGTATGTATGTATGTATCTATCTATCTGCTCATATCTATCTATCTATCTATCTATCTATCTATCTATCTATTTCAGTCTGTTCCCATATTTTTATCTATCTAAATATGTATTTATTCATGTATGTATATATGTATGTATGTATGTATCTATCTATCTCTCTACCTGTCTGTTCATATCTATCTATGTATCTATTTCAGTCTGTTCATATATATTTATCTATCTAAATATATATGTATTTATATATGTATGTATGTATGTATGCATCTATTCCTTTTCATCTGTCTGTCTGTCTATCTATCTATTTTGGTCTATTTATGTATCTAAGTATGTATGTATGTATGTATTTATCTATCTATTCATATCTATCAATCTGTCTCTTTCTCCCTCGGCCTTTCTTTTGTTTCTTCCTCAGTCTTTGTATCCCCTTTCAGCTCCTCTCTTTCTTTATTTGTCCCAACACATGCACACACACACAGCACGCATACGTATAACACTTGCTTACACTTTCTCAGCATCTCTGTCACGCAGCAAATCATGTGCACAACAGTACCACACACCTGTACATTCACACGCATAGAAATACCTGCACCGCACATACTCAGCACTCACTAACTCAACACATACACACACACACACAAACACAACACTCAAAACTCACACTATACCCCCCCCCCTGTAAAAAAAACAAAACAAACTTGAACTTCATTTGAAACACACAAAAAACATCAGACCTGTCAGGGATTTTTAATATTGCATACGATTTGACATGAAAACTTGCAAAATAATTATTTTGAATATTATTAGCTCATGAACCATTACTTATAAATAGATCAATAAAATGTATTATTATTATTACTATTATTTTTATCATTATTATTATTGTAACAACAACAACAACAATAATACTAATATTAATAATAACCTGTAACAATTTTATGGGACTTTACAATACACACAGACGGAACAATCAAAGTTATTCACCCATAGATCATGATTAGAGACCGCAAAGACAAAATGTCCCTCCTTACTGTCATGGCAGTCCCAGGACTGTAATGTATCTTTGAAGATCTTCAAAAAGCTATCAAAATTCAAGAACCGTGAAATCAAAATCTCAAAAATGTGGCGCATGAGGACATTAACAATACCAGTTGTAGTTGGATCCTTCGGATTGATTGGAAAAGATTCCATCAGACACAGTGAATGGATTTCTGCAAACCATGCCTTAAAGAAATACAAAAAAATGTACTCACAAGTACAGCCCACACCATATGAAGGGCTTTATCTATGTAAAATATGTGCGATTTTTTTTCAAAATTGCTCAGTGGAAAATGTCATGATGCCATTTCTGACCTTAGGTCTCTGGTTGGGACCCGGAAAGAAATGAGTAGACACCAGAAATCAAAGGAAATAAAACAATAATAATAATAACTATCAAAACAGAAGAATATTGAAATGGAAATCTCAATAATGAGGCACATGAGAACATTGTTGGTTAAGATTCCATGGGTCACTGTTTGTTGAATAAAATAATAAGAGAAAAGATTGTTGCATGTCCAATGAGATTTATTTAAATGTAGGATACACAAATTTTAAACTGTAATTACTTATCATGAAATGAAAGTTAGAAAATTCTTCTCTTTGACTGTAAGGAAATAGACATAAATAGTCTTTCAGCGAGGAAGAGGGAAAGTAGAGTTTGGAGACAAGATCAAAAAGAGTCCGCTGTTGTTTTGGTGGGAAAAACAGGACAATGAGGTTGACTTATGTCTCTTAACTGCTGTCGATTTGAATGAATGTTTATTTATATGTGGTCTTGTGTCGGCTCCAGAGGCCTGTGTTTATTTACTGGCAGGAGATGATCTAAAAGGTCAGCCAATCTAACAGTGATCTCATCCCACAATCTTTACTCTTGCTCCATATATGGCCTCCTTTGTAAATCACTAGCAGGACTTAAGTGCCACTTAAGATTATCGCGTTTCATAACTGAATCAATTAAGTTGTCAGATCCTCATACGCCGAAACTGGCGGGAGAGTCCATTATTATATATATATATATATATATATATATATATATATAAAAAGAAGAGAAGAGAGGTGCATAAAACGTTTTTGGTTGTAATGTGGTTTATTTAGAAAAAATATTATGCTTTGTTTTACATAATTTTTCGACACATTTTCTGGTCTCGTGACCGTCTTCAGGTAAAAGTGGAATTTCTACATATTATTAAAAATAATTAATTTTTTCTTCATGTTCAATGTGAAATATTCTCGATTAATATACATACTTTTCTCTCGTTGGAACCACTACAACATATTTCTTTTATATATATATATATATATATATATATATATATGTGTGTGTGTATGTGTGTGTGTATATATATAAATGTTATATATATATATATATAATATAAAGGAGGCACGGTGTAGTAGTGGATAGTGGCTCTGATTGAGGAATTGAAGTGCAGAGTTCAAATTCCATTTCAAGCCATTACATTCACTTATGTGCTAATATCCGTGGTATTAATCGTCTTCTCCATCCAGCTATGGGTAAATAGCAGGACAGGAGTTCTGTAGCCTTGGATAGAAACTGGTCTAAGAGAAGGAAAAACTGAGGAGATTAGTTTGGGGTCCTTGTGGCACATAGTGCACCAGGTCTGTACATTTCGACCCTTCAAATGGTGTGGTTGGTTCTGCACAAAGCCGTCACCACTATAATCAAATCATATTTGCTGGTGTCTGGGCTGTCGGTTCCTAGGAACTGAGTCGCTTGACCCTCATACGTCAAATACGATGGTAGAGTCCACCATATAAAATAAATTTATATAAAATTTTATTCATATAAAAATTATTCCTATGTTAATAGATCACTGTACAATATTGTTTTATAATAAATTTGATAATTCTTATTTATAGAAATAAAGTATTTATTATTTTTATTATTGGATAGAGGAATCTGGATTTTCAGCTGTTGTGGATGTGTAGGCTCCTGAGGCCTGTCTTTATTTAGTGACGGGAGCTGATTTTATTGGCTATTTATTTTTGTTAAATTGAAAATTTGAAGTTTGTTTGTAATGTAATGAATATGCATACACCTGGGTTCCCCCTCACAGTAATATGATTGGCTGGTGTCAGCCATAAATACAGACTGATGTGTAGGTACATGGACTACGCCTATTGCCTACCACTACGACGAGGACCAGTCCATTACGGTTACCTGCTAGATTTTCCTACCCGGTTACAGTAGTCAGCAACCACTTTGCTACTTCGAACAAATATATCCCTTTCGGGAACATATCAGTTTGAAAACCCTTCAAAAGTCTTAAGTGTGTTTAAGCATTTGCTTCTTTGATTTGATGCTGTTCCTTCCGCAACATCAATTTTTCATTTGGTGGCTTCAGATTTGATTTGATGCTGTTCACTTCAAATTTTCAATTCATCAATAAATAACCAATCAGTTGTAAATGAAGACAGGCCTCTGGAGCCCCACAAGACCACATATAAACATTCATTCATAGATTATTGAAAACAGCCCATGTCCTAAAGAAATACAAAAATTGGAACACAGCTCACAGATTACAAATTTTCAATTCAAATATCAGATAAAAAATAATCAATAAAATCAGCTCCGCCAATAGGAATGTGTATACAACAGCTTACAAGTACCTCTGTAAATGAGAGTACAAGACCACATATAAACAATCATTCATATAGAAGGGTACTACTTAATTCTCAGAAAAGAATTATGGCCATTTCTGGTAATCCCATGTTTCAACCTTGAAAAAATGACATCAACAATGGATTCTAAAACAAGAAAACTGGACTCTAAGTATAAGATGCATCATCCAAAGCTCACATACCCATAAAAGAAGGTGGAAGAGGTCTTATTCAGCTAGAATTGTCAAAAGACAACAAC